AAAAAAAAAAAAGGAAACAATACTGATGTTTCCATTGAATTCAAGTTCACTGATAGAAGTCTAGGTTAAATACTTTGTCTGAGTAGCAATGCCAGAAGGGTAGGGGTAAGATGAGGAGAGAAACGGAGGAAAGGGGAACCTATCACAATGATGGACACATCACTACCCCCCACCCCTTAGGGGGACGAACAACAGAAACTGTGGGAGAAGGGAGACAGTGGTTGATGTAAGATATGAAAACGATAATTTATAATTTATGAAGGGGTCATGAGGGTGGGAGGGAGGGAAAAAAGAGGAGCTGATACCAAGAGCACAAATAGAAAGTAAATGTTTAGGAAATAATAATGGCAACATATGTATACATATGCTTGATAAAATTGATGTATGAATTGTTATAAGAGCTGTAAGAGCCCCCCAAAAATGATCTTTTAATAAAAAACAAAACAAAAAATATATTGTCTGAAAACGTCCTTCCAGAATACTGCTTAATTGCAAGCCTTGTTTTTGTTCTCTAAGAACTGTAAAACCCACTATTAACTTCTTTGACTGTCTTTCATTAAATGATGCTGGATTTAAGAAATGGCAACATCTGGTTGAAAGTAGGTCTTTCTTAGGCTGAAAACAGAAGTGGTAGTTTGACTAGCCTAATCTTCCAGTACAGCCATACTTAACCATCTTTTAAAGATTACAAGAAATGTATATGGAAATACAAGCACATTGTACCACCTCCCTTTTAAATACCACTGCCTTAAATATAGCTTTCACAAATGTTAGCCTGTTTTATAAGGCCCCAAGTAGTCCAGCCTCATTCCACTTCACACCTTCATTTTCAAAATCCATCTCTTCCCTCACCACAACCTGCCCACGACGAATTCCCTGACTTTTCAAGTCTGTTTCTTTCCCTGATCTCATGGTGTTAGCAGTCTTCCTTGATGCTTTTTCGTGCCTGCTTTTCTTGATGAACTGGTGTCATCCTTGTAACCTTGGTGCCCCCATCATTCCCTCAGGACTTTCTGCTCTGATCCCAGATTGGGTTAGGTTAGATTTCTTCTCATAGTTCTGACTCCTATTTTCACAACTGTAATCATAGATTAATTATGAAACAAACTATTTTGTGTCTGCATACATCCCTCATTCGACTTTAAGGTTGACAGCAGTAGAAACTATGCAATTCTTATGTACTGTGCTATTTTCAATGTCTAGAATAATATCAGGCATACATAATAGATGCCTGGTCAATGTTTTTGTTGAAAGAATAAACAAATGGATACTTTTTTGAATGTTCATCTTTGGAATTTTCAGAGGAACATCTCATTCTAATGTTATGCACCCATGGAGTTTGGTTTCTCTCCTTCACCCACAATCTGGGGACAATGACAACATTCTCTGGGTCACGTGAGTGACGAGTCACATAAAATACTTGTATGACTTGTTTTCAAGGTTTAAAAAAACAATCCCAAACCATCAAATATTGGAAAACAAAACTTCACTTCATTCCAGACAAAATCCAACCAACTTAAATGGTATGGTGTGATATGAAGATTTAAACATTTATTTTATTTAAAAGTATATCATTTATTCAACCAATACACATATTCCTATAGTTCTTATTAGCATGACAGTCTTTTAATACCAGCTAATATCACACACTTTACCCAAAGAGAAGCAATTCCAGCAATCATATTAAAGGTGAATTACTGAAATGTTTGACCAAATACAGCTGGTTAGTTTTTAAGTTGATAATTTTACATGGCCTGTGAATGATGTTATAAATATCCAAATAAGCCTTGGCAAGCAAAAGGTTCCCCACTCCTCTTTTAGATATATGTTTTAGATAAAATTTGCAAAAAAGCACTTTCACAAGTTATGAAATTCCTACCCCTTGAAGCCCTTCAGTATATGATTATCACTGAAGCTAATGTGGCTTTCTTCCTTGAAGGCTGTCACATTTCCACTAGAATGTCAATGCTCTTTCCGGCTTGACCCTCTTCCCTGACTTAGTTGGAGAACAAATTAGCACCTACTACAGAGGAAATCTTCCTGATACAAAACTCTGACCTGCAACAACCAACGTTTTGAATAGCTTTTTGCCAGGGGGCTAACAGCTCTATTTGCATCGAAGGGTCTAACATTTCACACACTCTCATTTACATTTCTTCCACTGTTCTTGTCTTAACTCAAGTGGAGCTAAAACCAAATAGTTTCTTTGTCCTCTTACCCTAAGACAGGTCATTCTAAGGACAAGAAAGTGAAAAATACATTGCAACAGCTTTCAGACTCATGGATACCAATGCCTTGCTTTGCTCACAGCCCCCTTCTCTTGCTATCACTCCATGCACAATAAAACAAAAGTGTGAATCCACAAGCTGGTTGGGGAGTAGGTGTCCAACACATATATAACTCAGCAAGAAAAAGTACTTTTCACGACATCAAATATTTCTCCATCGTGACTGACCTGCATACTTCTAAATGATCAGACCCAACATCGTAGATGGTAGGAGACTTCTGACAAAATGCCTGACCGGAGCACTGTGCCGTCCACAGGAGGGCCAGCGCCGTGAACTTCTAAGACTTCAGGGCTGGAATCACTCTCTGGACAGCTGCTCTCGATGGTTTCATTTTGCCTGAGACTAAGAAAGAATTGAGGCTCTCCTGCAAGAAATCTACCTTTGTTTCCTTCGTGGATTCTTGAGACTCTCGGAATCTCAAAGGATCCTCTGGGCAGGGGCAAACTTTCTTGGTGCCTTGTGGCTTTTCCTCCTCGTTGGCGTAGAGAGCAGCTCTCCTATTGGATCTGCGCCTGTGGCTTTCTGTCTTTGGCCCTCAAGTCACCAAGTTCAACTCTGCTGGGCATGGAAGTCCTTTCCAAGTTCCCACAAGGCTTATTATTATTATTTATTCTCCTTCTTCGTGAAAGTCTGAATTTAACCTGGCCTCTTCTTTTAGCCTGAATCCATTGACTCTCATCTGTGGAAGATGAATCTGAAGAAGTGGTGAGAAGTTCACTCCATCCGGGGCTAGATAGTTGAGGGTGAACGTCCTTTCTTCGCCCTTTCCTTTGTTGAGCCGCATGCTCGATCTCTCTGAGGCCTTTCTTTGCCTCTAGCCCTCTGTGTTAATGGCTTCTCACAGGCCCCCTTCCTCGTGCGGCTCAGCTCCATGACAGGGGTGCAGGGCTCAAGTACCTCCTCCGACATGTCATGCAAGATGGCAGATCTGGCCCAACCAGCAGGTGGAGGAGGAGAACGGGAAAGGAGAGGAACGCAATGGAAGCACAACGAGAGAGAAAGATAAAGATGACAGCACGGATGAGATGCAGACACCAAAGGAAACCGGAGAGAATGAAGTAAAGGAGACACACGGAGCCAGGACAAACTGTCTGAGAGCTGCACAGTCTTTGACGACAAATCAGGAACACAAAACGGGCCTCAAAGAAAGGTTGAACAGGTCATCTGCTCAGCACTTACCTGCAGATGTCCTGAGTGGATGGACAGACAGACAACCTCGACTGGCTTCGGGGAGCGGCTCCTGAGGTGGGACTGCTGGCCTGGAGAAACAAGTTAGATACTTTGGCATCTTGGTTTAGGTAGTACATAGTCGAGATCTTGCTTTTTTTCCACATATTTAGAAAGTTACAACAAATGTGGCTGCCAGTCATGTTGCTCATAACTCAGCTCACAGAATACAGGAAGTTAAGAAGGTTCAGTTTGCAAAAATAAAACTTATTTGAGGAACTTGGAACAGCTGAGAGGCTGTACCACTTTGTTATTGCTTCATTTGTGAGAGAGAAAGATGATTTTACATTTTCAATTCTACTTACTGTAAACATTTGAGGGGAATGGTTCGATTGGTCTCAAGACAAAAAGGGTAGCACCTGAGAGTTTTAGGTCACAAGGATGTTAATGGTCTGGAGATATTGGTGATGATTTTGGAATAAAAAATACTGATAATGATCTGGTAATAATCAAACAGCCAGTGATCCTGTCTGGAGTTCACATTAATTCATATCAAAATTATGCATGATAACATTTGAAAATATTTTGTAATATTAAAAAGTCTATAGCTATGGCTATTATTATTTTCTATTGAATAAATAAAATGTATGTATCGCAGTATTATTGACCTTTATATCTTTTAACTCTGTCACCATCTTGAGGCTAAGGGGAAAAAAATGAAGCAAAACCGTTCTGGCAAATTGATTGATTTTATTCAGACTGACCCCATAGGTCAGAATAGGACACCATAGGAGCTCTAAGAGTGTAATCTTTACAGATGCAGATTACTATACTGCTCTCCCCAGAAGTGGGTGCTGGGTTTGAACAGCTGACCATTGATTTAACAGCCACATATTTAACCACTGCACCACTAAGACTCCTTGAGGCTGAGAGAACATGAAATAAGTAAGATTATTCATGCAAGGTTCAGTACATTTCAATAAACCCCTACCTTCAATGAAATCATCTTCATTCTATTTTACTCTAACCTTTTGTGTTGAATATAGGTAAAGATGACGTTAATAAAAAAAAACTAGAATATATTCACAGGGTTTACTATGTGCTAAACATTTGCTAAGCCTGAATCTATTATGCCTTAAATTCCTATAACAATTTGGCAAAAGATCTAGATAAGAAAAAACAGAAAAAAGTAATTTGGCAAGTGGAAAATAATAATAAGTAATACTTTTCAGTAACTATTACATGCCACTCACTCTTCTAAGCATTTAAAATTATATGGATTATTAATGCAAGTAACTTATTTGGTAAATACAATTAAAAATCAATATCAGTGCTTTCATGTTTTAGGTGAAGAAACTGAGAAACAGAGGCTGCTTCTCATAGTAGATGGTAGAACAGAGACTTGGACCAACAATTAACTCCCATCTCTGTTCTCTTATCACAGCAGGCAATGCAGCTTCTGCTTCACAGAGGAGGAAACCACCGGCGTCCTGGCTCCAGATCCAGGCCTTCTGATTGTACAAATGAACCATGCCAGCTAGTCACCAAGGCTACAACCGGAAGTCTACCGCAAATGTTAAAATTATTATACAACTTCCAATACAGAGTTGTACAATTGTCAGATTGAGAGGTAAGAAAGAGAGGTAAATTCTAACTCCGGAAGTCCGTAAAATATTCAAGAGGAGGAGTGGTGCACTGGATAATGGGCTCCCCCAAATGTTCATACAGTCCTTAGGACCAACAAATGATTCATTTGCTCAAATGACAAAAGTTTGGAGGTTCGAGTCCACTCAGAGGTGCCTCTAAAGAAAAGTCTGGTTGGTCTCCAATCCCACTCTGGGACTTTCACTGTTTACTATGTTATATTGATCTATTGTCAACTGTGCTCATGGGACAGTGTTTGTTTGTTTTTGATTTTGAACAAAGCTTTAATTAATTAATCAATACTAAACACTGTAGCTTTTCAAAATTTTTTTTTGGTTGGGGAGTTTCTTTATTAAAAGATCATTTTATTAGGGGCCCTTACAACTCTTATTACAATCCATGCATAAATTCTATCAGGAACATCTGTACATATGTTGCCATCATTCTTTTCCAGATATTTACTTTCTATTGAGCCCATGGTATCAGCTCCTCTTTTGTCCCCCTCCCTGCCCCCACCCTTGTGACCCCTCGATTGATTATAAATGAATATTATTTTCATACCTCACACCTACTGCTGTCTCCCTTCACCCATGGTTTCTGTTGCTCTTCCCACTGGAGGGGTGTGTGTGGTTATGTGTTGATCATTATGATTGGTTCTCCCTTCCTCTCCTCCTCCCTACCCCTTTCCTAGTATCGCTATTCCCATTACTGTTCCTGGGTTCCATAAGTCGTGAGCTCTATCTCTTATTTATACCTGTGTACATGCTCCAGTCTAGTCTGAAGTGAGAAGCAGCACTGGGCTCATGATAATAGGGGGTGAGGAAGCCTCAGGAACCAGAGGAATATTGTGTTTCAAGGGTGCTTTAATGCACCCTGGTTGACTCATCCCTTCCCTGTGAGCCCTCTGTGAGGGGGTGTTCCATTGTCTACAGATGGACTTTGGGTATCTCTGCTCCAACCCTCCTTGTTTTCAACAATGCTTTATTATGGTTTGCTTGTATGAGTCTTTTGATACCCGTTATCCAGTCCCAATGACACCTCAGGATCACACAGACTGGTGTGCTTCTTCCATGTGGGCTTGTTTTACTTCAAGCCTTTAGGACCCCAGATGCTATATCCTTTAATAGCCAGGCACCATCAGCTTTCTTCATCACATTTGCTTATGCACCTATTTTGTCTTCAGCGATTGTGCTGAAAAGTGAGCATCACAGAATGATAGTTTGTTAGAACAAAGCGTTCTTGTATTGAGGGAGGGTATCAACAGATATCCATTACCTTGGTGTATTGCTATATAAATATATGTACATAGACCAATCCCTCTATTAATGGATTAATGTATTTACATATTTACAGATATGCTTATACCAGTATCCATAGTTTTGCTTCCTAGATCATTCCTGTTTCCTTTTACCTTCCTTCTGTCCCACCATCACAATTGCCCTACTTCTGCCTCATAGTACTTCCTCTCAGCTAGAATGCTGTTCCAACACCCCCAGGATCTCTGTATCTTCCTTGTTGATATGAATTCCCTAGCTGTTCCCCTGCTATGGCGTTGTTTACTCACCACACCCTTCCCCTGCCCTCTTCTCCCTCCAGGGACCGTTGGTCCCATTGCTTTCTCCTTGAGCTTACTTCCCATGCCTGTCTTAAGTAAGTAGGCAAACCAACAATGGCGTAGACCAAACAAAAAGAAAACAAAAGATTGAAAAAAATAAAAGGGGGCGGTGGTGGTGGGGGAACATACATAAGTCCAGGTCTGTCATCTGACTTTTATGATTACCTCCCCATTGGTCCTGTGGGAATTCCAGGAGCTGCTCCACCTAGCCTGAAGTCTATTTTTTTTTTTTGGGGGGGTGTGTCTCTTTAGGGGATCTGTGGCTTTGCTTTGCTCCAGTTGTTGATCTGCTATGTTCTCTTCTTGATTTGCACCCCGCTGCAGGGGTAATGGTGGGGGTGGTGTTCAGACCACACTACCTCCCATGTGTCCCCCGTATCATCCTCTGTCTCACTGTGCTCCAGTAAGGGGACAACATGTCATGCACGGTGTTGGCCCTGCAGTCCTCTCTGTGTCTGAGCAGCTCTGGCAGGGACGTCGTCCTCCAGGCTTGGTGAGCCACTATGGGGTGCAGACCGACTGCCCCTTTCTCCTCTTCCTTCTCGGTTTGCTTCCGTGTGGGTGCGGTATGCCAGCCCGTCACCACACCTGTAGGCTTAGTGTCGTTTTCTGTTGCACATACTGCTAGGGAGAGGGCTAGGTTGGTTCTGGTTGGGTCCAGCCTTGTAGTGCAATCTTTTCATGTGTTCCTCCTTGTGCTTGGTGATGCTGCCCTCATGGTTTGGTGTGCCGTGGTGGGGTCTATAGGCACACTCCCAGTTTCAGGGGAGTCATGTACTTGGCCTTTTGAGACTGGCTGACTTCACTTAGCATAATTTCCTCCAACTCTTCCCCTGAAACTATGTGATCATCAGCGCTTCTTAGTGATGCGTAGTACCAATGGAGCAGTCTTTTTACAGTTCTCATGTCTGCTTGAAAGCTGTGTATACCGGCAAACTCTTGGACACCATTATCAGCTAATGCCCTGCCTCATTTGCATGCAGGCCTCTGTAGTTGTCTGGTCCTTATCCCACTAATGGATGTTCCCTTTATTTAAAAATAGTGGCAATAAAATAAAGAAAAGCCCAGTGATCTACGTCAGAAAAAAACCAGCCCTAGAAAACCCTGCGACGCACTCTTCTACTCTGACACTTCTAGGGTGGCCTTGAGTCGTAGATGACTTGAAGTTAACTGATAAAGATGTTCACTTATTAATCCCTGGACCCTGTGAAGACGTTACTGTACATGCTAAAGGGACTTTACAGACGTAAGGATTGTGAGGTAAGGAAATTATTCTGGATTGTCTAAAATCAGGCTAATGCAACCACAAATGGATTTTATAAGAGGAAGGCAGCAGAGAGATGGTCAGAGAGGAGATGTTATGTTGCCGGCTTTGAAGATGAATTAAGGGTACTTGAGTCAAGAAATTCAGGTGGCATCTATAAACTGGAATAGACAAGGAAATAGAATTGTCCCCAAACCTCAGTAGGAATTTACCCCTGCTTACACCTTGATTTTTAGTTTAGTGAAACCATGTCAGATTCCTCACCTCCAAAAGATGAGATAATGTTTTCATGTTGTTGACTACTAAATCCGTGGCAATTTTTTACAGCAACCATAGAAAACTGTTGTAGGAGGTAACACTTAACATGGCTTAAAAGGTAAACAGGAAATAGTAAGTAAGTGATTAAAACTATTCCAGTGTGCCTAGATGAAGGATGCTACCCGCGACACACTCGGATACCCGTCCATACAGCTACAAGTGTCCCATGTACACTTTCCTGAGCATTATCCACTAAACCATGAACACTGTGTATTGTTTCATCTCCAAACTCGATTAATTTACTGAACATC